CTTTCATTTTTTTAAAGGTCTACTTGTATTCTATTTCCTTTGTTTACTGTGGTAAAATATAAAGAATATGAACTTTTCAACCAACTGTGTACATACACAGTTCAGTTTTATTAGTTGCATTCACTTGTTATACAACAACCAACATCATCCACTTTCCAGACATTTTTTTTTTTGGTTCCTAAATTGAAAATTTTTACACATTTGAATAACTTCCCAATATTCCCTCCCCCGATTCTGGCTATCACTCTTCTATGATGAAACTTAATGATGGATTAAGACCACTGAACTACAAGGGTAATGTGACCAAGGAGGGAGAATTGACAGGTTTAGATGGTGAATTTAAACCTTTTGTATTCTGTCTTCCCAGTGAATGCTGTGATCCTGAGATTAAATTGTCTTCCTGAGAAGACTCCGCAAGGCACTTTTAATGTCCCTGTTCCTCAGGCTGTAGATGAAGGGGTTCAGCATGGGGGTGACCACAGTGTACATCACTGAGGCCACTGCACCCTTCCTAGGAGAATGTGAGACAGCTGATCCAAGGCACACTCCAAAGCCTGTTCCTAAAAGAAAAGCAAACATCTGACAGGTGAGACTCACAGGTGGAGAAGGCTTTGTACCTCCCCCCTGAGGATGGGATTCTCAGAATGGAGGGAACAATTTTACAGTAAGAGAAAAGGATCCCTATAGATGGGTAAACTCCAAAAATGGCAGCAGGAAGACACGTGAATTTATTACTGGTGAAAGTATCAGAACAGGCCAGATTAAGGAGCTGAGAAGGGTCACAGAAGAAATTAGCAATTTCCACATCCTTAAAGTAGGGAAAATTTAACATGATCAAACTGTGCAGGTGGCAGTCCAAAAGGCTAACCAGAAAAGACATTAATATTAAGAAGCTACAGAGGTGAGGGTGCATGATTACTGGGTTATACAGGGGGAGACAGAGGACCCCAAATGGGTCATAAGCCATCACAGTCAGAAGCATACCATCCATACCTCCAAAAATAATAAACAGGGACTTCTGAGTCAGGCAGAGGACATCTGAGTCAGGCAGAGGACATCTGATTCAGGCAGAGGACATCTATGTCAGGCAGCTCACATAGGAGATAACGCTGCTGTGAGTTTGGATGTTCACAATCATCTTTGGGACCGTGGTGGAGATGAAACTGATATCAGCCAAGGACAGGTTGGAGAGGAAGAAGTAAATGGGCTTGTGGAGGTGGGAGTCAGAGCTGACTGGCAAGATGATGAGCAGGTTTCCAAGCACTATGACCAGGTACATGGCCAGGAAATGTTTGAAGAAGATGGGCTGAATTTTGTGATCTTTTAGAGACCTAGAAGATGGAAGTATTACATCCATGTTTCTATCTTGTGATTCTATATTGCTCAGATAGCTTTTGTTATTTGTTCTTTTTAGATATTCATGACAGTAGAGTGTATTTTTACATATTATACACACATGGAGTAGAACTTATTCTAATTAGGATTCCATTCTTGTGCTTGTACATGATGTGGAGTTTCACTTATGGTATACTCATACGTGAACATAGGAAAGTTACATCTGATTCCACTCCACTGTATTTGCTATTCCCATCCCTCTACCTTCCCCTTATTTCCCTTTGTCTAATCCACTGAACTTCTATTCTTCCCTCCCCACTTGTTGTATGTTAGCATCTCTTCAAATGGATAAA